GGGGGGGGGGGGGGGGGGGGGGGAGAGACTGGCGCAGAGTTCCCACGGCCCTGTGGGCACCCACCACAAGCAAGTGCCCCTTTAGCATCTGCCGGTTGGCTCTGGGATGTGTTTTTATTCTTCTTGTTGGTTTCCCCAGCAATGAACGGGGGACGTTGGCAAGGTAGATGGTTATTTCTAAGGCCTTCTTTGCTTGCACTGACCCTTGAAATCTGCCATTCGTTTGGAAACCTCCAGGACTCTTAACACCCTTGGTTTGGGGAAGTGTAATTTCTCTCATGGCTTTTGGATGCATTACCATTTGTCCAAGGTTTTGGAACTGAAGGGTCTGTAATATGGATGCTGAGTGTCATGATCGCTCCAATGCGGTGAACAGAAGAGGTGCTCAGAAATGGTCTTGGTAGGGGTGCCTGGGTGGCTTGGTTGGTTAAGTGCCCGACTCTTGACTTCAGCTCAGGTCACGACACTTCATGAGAGCGAGCCCCGTGTCAGGCTTTGTGCTCACAGCACAGAGCCTGCTTGGGATTCTCTCTCCCTCTCTCTCTCTCTCTCTCTGCCCCTCCCCTGCTTGCACTCTCCCTCTCTCAAAATAAATAAATAAAGATTGGGAAAAAAAAAGAAAAGAAATGGTCTTGGTAGCAGCTGGCAGTTCAGGATGTGTGCATTCGGAGCAAGGGCTTATCTGTTGCTCCGTTTCCTGTGCGTTCCGGATTTATGTGCACACCCCTTTTCCTTGCCTTTCAGCTAAGGCACTCCTTGCCACTTGTAAGGAGGGAAAAAGCAGGGATTTTCAGAACACTTTGGCAGAGAAGGGTCCTGTAGAAGTGCTGGCTGTTAGGACGGTGTGGTAAGTCCTAGAGCCACTTATTTGCCTGGTGGCTTCCAGAGAGGAAAGAGAATGATGCCTACCGGGTGCTGTAGAAAAAGACACTGAGTGTGGATGAGACCCTGCTCTTGGAATCCTGTCAAATCTTGGAGCATAGTTACGAGCACCTGCTCTTACTGACGTGAAACTCCATTTCAGAGAGCTTAGGGAACTTTCTGTGGATCTCACAGCCAGCGCGAGGTGAGCCCGGGGTCCAGAGCCAAGCGGCCTGCCTCCGGGACCTGAGATCTTCCGGTTGTACCACACTGCCCGCCGGAAACCAAGCTCGCTGAAAAAATGCTTTTGTGCTGGTGCCTCTTTCTGACTTTGTCCGGAGGAGGTAGGTCTGTGACACCTGACCCGTTCAGAGTAGACCGGAGACCTAGCTGCACGCCCCGGGGCAATGCCACGTTAGCCACCGTTGACCGGTGCCCAGGTAGCCGTGGGCACAGCCTCCTGGTTTCTGTGCATGGCCAGTGGCCCAGTTACCTGTCTGCATTCTTGCGGTGGCACTCACGGTCACCTCCTGAGCTGTCCCTCTTCCCGAAGAGGCGGACACTCTTTAGAATTCCCTGCGGGTTGTCAGCCGTGGGCAGCCTTACTCGTTGAAGTACGAGAAGTGGTCATGGCTGACGGACCATAACCTCTCAGGCCGAGTTGCCTGGATGTCCTGTTTTCGCCATCTTTCCGGAACTGTGGCGGAAGCCCACGCAGGGCCTCAGATCCAGGTGATGCCTGAGAGCCCCATAGCAAACTCAGTTTAATGTGCCGTGAAAGATGATTATTGCCTTGATAGCATCTCCTATTCCTGCTTCCACGGGTAGGTGTAGAGACACGTGCGAGTGCTTGGGAGAAGGTCCTGGCATCAGCATTCCATCACCTTCTATGGGAAGTTGGCAGGCCGTGGCTCCATGGGCCAAACCTGGCCTATGGCTCTTTGCAGGCCCCTGCCTTATCTCCTCCTAGAGAAAGGACTTTTCTTGGCAGAGGGCCTCAGAAGAGCCAGTCAAAACTGGGTAGAGAAGTTATTGTTTCATTTATTTCAAAAATTTTTTTAACGTTTATTTTTGAGAGAGCGAGCACGAGAGTGGGGAGGGGCAGAGAGAAAGGGAGACCCAGAACCAGAAGCAGGTTCCAGGCTCCGAGCTGTCAGCACAGAG